AAAAAGCACTTCCATGGAACATTCTATCCCAAACAGGGCAAGGTAATATTACAAAGGAATAGGTGAGCGTAGCTCCTCCCTTGGGGCTGTAGGAAGACACACCCAGTCATGAAGACACAGACACTCGAACCCTAAGGGAATGGACTCAGTCACGTGCTAGTGGGTCTCCCACAGCCAAATATAATAAGCAGATGACAAACACTAAGGTGACACTCCTTAGGATAGGATAGTAGCTTCCAGGAGCCAGGTTGGTTAAATTGCCTTATACTCCTTTAGTATATAATTTTCTTGGAAAAGTCTCAGGTGGAGTTTCAATGTGCACATAAATATTCCTTAGGGTTAGATTTAATTTCACACATAGGTTAATGATTATGCTTTCCAACGGTGTGTTTTAAATCTTAAATGTTTACAGGATTCCTAAATTATGCTTCTAATAAAGTTAAAGCCTCATCTGCAATTGATCTTGTGATGGATAAGCAATCACTGGAGGCTTTTCATCAATGTGAATTATGTGTTTGGATGCAAACTAAGCACAGTGAACCTTCATTTTCCTTCCAGGGATTATTCTTCTCTGTATTTATCTATACATTGGGTGTGAAGGTGACAGTGCAGCAGACCTATCTAGTTTAGAAGCACTGAAGCAAAGCAGGTGGGAAAAAAAAAACAAAAACATTTTGAAGTTTCTTGTGTAAACTGCTAAATAAGATCAATTGAGCCTGGTGTGGTGGCACACACCTGTGATCCCAGCAACTTGAGAGACTGAGGCAGGAGTTTGAGGGCAGCTTCAGCAATTTAATGAAGCCCTCAGCAACTTATAAGGCCCTGTCTCAAAAAAAAAAAATTAGTGGAAGGCTAGGGTTGTAGTTCAGTGGTAGAGTGCCTCTGGGATCAATCTTCAGTACCAAATAGTAACGATAATAATGAGAATAATAAAGTTCTGTTGAATGAAATCTGTATTTTTCCCCTTTAAATATACTTTGCAAGTACATCATTGAATTAAATGCTAAAATCAGGCTGTCACATGCCTATGCTACTCTGAATGCAGTCAGTGGATAAATTTGTTAAAATGCATTGCTAATGGATTAATTTAGATGAAAGAATTTTTTGTATATTTTCTCTCCCATTGGGAATATCAATCTAGTTATAATACTTTTTAAGACGTCTTTAGAAAATTGTCTTCCTTTATCTCCTTCTCCTCCTTCTCCTCTTCCTCCTCCTCCTCCTCCTCCTCTTCCTCCTCCTCCATCTCATTTACACTGAAATTTAACCTTTAGTAGATCTGGTCTAATGGTCACTCAGTATATAATTAAATTATATGTATTTTTCTCCTAAAGGAAAAATTCTCCTCTTACTAATGCCTGCCAAATTTTTTGCCCCCCCCCCTCTCTCTGTCTTTTTGGTAAATTTAAATTGTGGACCCAGAAGTGGAGACATGAGCTTCTAGCTGCTAAGGGAGCATAAGAC